GTGTTATAATAACTTTTCACTAAAATGTTTTAAAAACTGTAAAGATAGCTGTTTGATCTGCAAAATAGAGGTGTGTAGGACATCTACAATTCGACTTGAACCGTAGTCACCCTCGCCCACTTGATTCTAGGGGTTGCTACCACTCGGCCACACACACATCCACATCCTTCGGCTCCCTGGGGTGTCATAATTCTTGACGAGCTCATCTTTTACTTAAGTTTTACATAATTTTCATGTCGTCGAGGGGGAGGTCGCTTGTTGGGCTCAAGTCCATGGAGATAACATAAAATCGGGACGTGTGTGGGTGTTTCTGGTTTTCTGTTTTTTTTTTTCTGAGGGTGGTGAGCTCAGTCTTAGCGGTAAAACGCTCGATTCTACGTGCTTGCGGCTTTTCCGCTTAGCGTTTCCTCGCTGTTTGATACTTTTTCCACCCAAAATCTCCACCCCCTTTGGCTTTGGGTCGTGTAATTGCCTCGATTTCTTGACACTTGTCGACACAGATTGCTAACAAAGTGGCGAAATGAATAGGGAAAATTCGTGGGGGCTTGGTTTGTGATTGATTGACCATTCCACATAATTTTGCCACTGCCCTCAGACTCCCACAAGCAGTTATTAAATAATAAGCGAGGCGAAAAACCCTTCGCTACAGCCAATAAATTGAGCATTTTAGTGGGTCTAACCCTAATTTGCTAATCGCAAAACGAGCTGTACGATTCGAGGGCGGGAGGAGGCGTGGCACTCGTAATGGTATTTAAGAAAAATTACACCTCAAAACTGTAAATGGCCAAAGAACAGAAAACAAAGAAAAAAAAATGAGAAACAAGTCAAGTGCCCGAAACAAAAACCACAACAACAACATTGAACACCCCCTATATAACCCTTTATTTTATTTTTTGCTTTTTCTACAAGCTTTTCTTTTTTTTTTGGCAAAAATGTTTTTATCTAGCGCCGCCATCTTTGTGCTAAACGGTAATTCAACAACGGTAAAGCCACGACGAAAGGCAGGGGCGGAGTGGGCCAGAAAAGGGGGGAGAATGGGGCACTAAGCCAAATCCGCCCCTTGAAGTGTTTATCCTTCGGTTTTGGGGGCAGGGGAACGGTTTTTTGGGGCAGGACTGGCCCAAAGTGTTTTCAATTTAAGTTTAGAGAACAAAACGCCTTTTGATTTTTATTAGTCCACCAAGGGGGTGGACCCAAAAAAAAGAGAGTTACAAAAAAATAAGGGGGGGGGGGAAAAGAGCCATTTGGGAGTGGGGAAAATTAAGCGAGCTGCCAAAATGCATTCGCAGTCGGCCTAGAAAAAAGATGTTGCCTTCTATTTTGGCCTGCTGCCATTCAGTTGAATTTATGGCCACCGGCCAGGGTTGTCGCCCTCATAAATTATGCAAATGCTAATGCAAATGCAAGGACGACGTGGGCGATTGGGTGGCTCGTGATGGTCTGCGGGTATTTAGAGCCGAAATAAAGGAGGCGAAATAAACTGGCTCTGCGTTCCGATTTCTTGTTTTCGTTCGTTTTTGGCAATCGCCTAAATGGGAGCCCACTTAAATAATTATCATTTCCCGGGCCGAAAAAAGGGGGCGCTCGTCAAAAGCTCATCAGGGGCCCGACGATCGGACCAATTAGTGCAACGAGCCCACTGAGCGTTTTATTAATTAGCCAAGGAAAATCTCGGTGGAAATTGGACCCATATAGATGTACCCCTACCCATGCCATACCCACACCATACCTATCCCTTCCAATTTCCCCGTTTTCGAGGCGAACAAGAGTCCCATTAGTCGCTGATGTTGATGGGCCGCGTTGTTCGTTTTTCGGCTCATCGGGCTTCCAGTCTTGTTTTCGGCCCCACCACTTCACTCCACTCACTCAATCTTTCACTTTTGGGCGAGAGAAATCTTCGGATCAGCACTCATAAATTCGTCCATGAAAAGCCTATCATCTGCACTGAGAAAACTGAATGATTGATCTTAAGAATAACTCTTTGGATTATTTCCAATTCCAATTTCCAGTCAGTAGTGTTTAGTTATCAAAAAGTTGTTAAATAAACCCAATTTAATTTTTCTCTTCTCACCATTTAGTTATAATGTTGAGAACATTGGTAATAAAATGTTCTTACACGGTTTTTAAGAACGAATGTTCTCAATTCAAGAACAATGTACTTGAATACTTGAGAGAAATCTCCCTTTGAAGATACCTTAAACATATGATGCTATATCTTGCATTGCTAGGGAAATATTTCCACGATCTTCGAGCCGTACGCCTCAGTTTTTCGCCGTGCAGCCCTACCTGTTTCCCTCCTCATCACATTTTCCACTCGACACAATCACAATTAATCTATGGGTCCAGTGGCTCGGTTCTCCCAGTAGTTCGGTTCTGCCCCCCGACGTCCCTTGAAATGATGGCAATTACCAGAAGCGCTCGCGGTCAGCGCTGTCTAATGAGCGGCCATCGACTGGAGCGGATCACCTGAGATCACCTGGGATCACCTGAGAATACCTGGTACTGGCTCTCATACTGGGAGCCACAACAACTCAATTCATTCATCACCGATAGACTGATGATCGCTGGTCGCGGGAGGGGGCCTTTCGAGGCCCAAAAAACAGAAAAGAAAACAAATGGAAAAGGAAACCGAATAAAGAAAACCTGACGGGGCGTGCCAATGGCGTTCTTATTAATTTGCCCAATTTCCACAAGCAGAGGAAAATGGGGAAAAACTTAATTAAAATGTCGTAAACGAAAATTGTATGTTTAGGCACGCGGTTGGGACTGAGCGGGCTGGGAGCTACCAAAAATAATTAAGACATTTCGCTTCTCGTTCGACCTTTTTTCGTTTTTGGGTTCACGAAAATGTTAAGAAAAATTGCTGCCACAAATTGTTTGGCTGCCCAATTTCCTCGAGTCCTCCCCTTGACTTTCCCTGATATCTCGCCGCTCTCCTCACAGTTTTCCCTGTTAGCTGTTTTCGGTTTTTCTGACTTGAGCTCTCTTTTTATTTTTCTGGTTTCGGGGCCGCGACCGAAAACAATAAAAATGACTAATGGCAGCTAATTTCCCGTCGTCGGAAAAAGCGAGGAGTCGGAGGAGGAGGTTGAGGCTGAAGATGAGGCCCGGCCAGCAGAAGAGTTTCCCATTCGGAATTGGATGCGCCTCAAAAGTAGTTCAATTGCCAAAAGACAAAAGGCGAAATGCAGGCGTTTCCCGGATTGGGCGTGACCTGGGCAAAACTAAAAAATTCATGGGATAGGAAGACTTTACCTGTCACTGCTCATTTCCCCTGCACCATTTCCCATATTCCATTTTCCGAGGCCAGGTGCCTCGCACTTCCTCGTGTCCCATTCACAAATTGTTGCAGTTTTTCATTGACATCGAGGTTTGAAAAAAGGTGGGGAATATTAGCAAGTTTGAGTGGAATAGATCGGTATAATGACTACCAAAAATCGTCTATTCAACCATCAAAACGTTTGCTTAGAAATTTAAAAATGTGCAGTTAGGGGCAAACGTTTTTTTATTTAAAAATATAATATTAGTTCCACACAGAGATAAATCTTACGTTCTCATCTGAGTTGAAAGTGTACCTAAAAATAGAACGAAATTTTTATAGCTGAAAATGTTTTCATTGTGTTTGAATCAAGTTGAATTTACATTGTATATCTCAACAACTAAACTATTAGTTATTATAAAAAGTATATAAATAAACTCAAACTTTTCTCTTCTCACCATTTCGATCTAATATTGATAACATTAATACCAAACTTACACGGTTTTCAAGAACGAATGCTCTTAATTCAAGAACAATGTACTTGAGTATATTTCTCTGTGCAGGTGAATATTTTTTGTCAAAGCTTATACAAATTAAAAACAATTTTATATTTTGAATTCAACTTTGCAAATGTTTTTTTAGCTTCTCACTGCGTTGAGCATATTAAAACATGTTAACCAAACTGAACCATTTAAAGGAGTTGGTTTTTGCCAAAAATTAGGTGATGGCTAACATAATATTTCTGTGGATCCCATCCACTAGTTAAATCCATTTCACCCAAATTTCAACTGACCGCATATAATTATGCATTGTTTAACGTTAATTCCCGGCAAGGACACTCCCGAAATTGCGTTATTTACGAGCCGAGCCACCCACATCCCACCCACATTCTATGGCACTCATTTGTTCATTCATTACATTCATTAACTTTGCGACGAGCTTGCGCAGATAATGCAATTTTCCAAATGGCCGAATGGAAAAACAAGTTTTCCGGCCGGGACCCGCCGCGCACTTTATTCAATTTACCAATAAAATTTCAATCGAATTGCTCCTTTTAATCAATTCGCTGCCACCCACACACGCATTTACATACGCGCCTGCATAATTCCGGTGTTTTTATGTTTTTTGATCAATTTTTAATCAACAACAGCGGCAACAACAACAACAACAACAACAAACCAGCAACATTATTTGCCTGCAGGCCAGCTTTTAATGTGTTTGTAAAGAGTATCTGTGTGTGTTTGGCCGCTTGTAATTGTTGTTGCTGCTTGTTGATTATGCACGTAATTAAATTTGGACAGCAATTTTGTGTATTTTGGCCAAATGCGAAATACTTAGTTAGTTTGGAGAGAGAGAGAGTGAGAGATAAGGCCCCCGCAAAAGAGTGGCCTTTCTCGGCAAAAATGTTTTTATTTGTTTACTTTCCATTACATAAACATTTTCTGGTTATAACTATCGAAATTGGTTGTCTGACAATTTTCATGAGATGCTTAATGCTTACAGCTTTAATATAAGTTGCACACAAACAAACTGCTAGGAAAAAATGTACCAACATAAATGTATAAATTTATAAAATGTACCGAAATTGTTACTCTCCTAACAACAAAATATACAAAACTTATCATTTTATGGTAGTTTTACTATTAAATGAACTAGACGTATAGGTATATTTTTCCCATTAAATTGTGAGTTTCGGAGGCAATAAATAAATACAGTACATAATTTTAGTCTTGTCACTTACCCTCGCGGATGTTGTGCGGATATCCGCGTGAGCTTTCATGTTCCCTCATTGGATTGTCCTGATTTTTGAAAGACGGTAGTGGTTCCAACTTAATAGTTTGCTGATCCTGATTTTCTCCCAGCTCCCAATTCCGATTCCGATCCCTTTGCTGCTGAATTGCTGCTGCTGCGGCCGCCGCATTGGCACGTTGCATTAGCGCCATCTGGCGGAGCATATAGACGGAAGACGAACTGGATGCGGATCCCGTGGAATCCGCCGGATTTGCGGATTGGGAATCGATGGGCAGACTGAGGAAGGGCGACCATCCTGGTACTCGCAGGTTGACGGCGGCTGCTGCCGCATAAAGTTGCAGGGCGGATGCCGCATGCGGATGTGGATGCGGATGCGAGTGCGGAGTTTGCACCTGCGCCTGGCTGGCGGCTGCCAGCTGCAGTTGTTTGATCAGCTGATCCATTTTTAGGTTAACCTTGGGTTGGGTGAGACCTAGTATGATACTTATGTTCTTGAAATACTTCTTAATTTTCTTGATATTTTGTAAACATTTTATTCACTTCCTTAAAGCATTTAATTTCAAGTTTATTCAAGTTATGGCTTTCTTAAACAACTTTGTGATAGCTTTTTGCTTAATTCTTAGCCATGTTTAAACTGCAGGTTAATTGTCTTTAACTTTCAGTTAGTTTTGTTATCACTGAACAGATTTTTCAAGGACCTTTGTCTTGTTGAAATTTAAATTATATCTTTCACTTTAATGTTCACACATGGGTATTTGTGATTCAACTATTATCCTAGGGGTTACCCTTAACTTCCGTTCGATCTGCAGGATCTTTCGGTTAACTTCGTTTAACCTTTTGGAATTGAGTTCCAAATTCACGAGGCACACACACACAGACACACAAACAAAAAAACCAGTATCCTGGCCGCACAGTGGAATGCGGCAGTGGGTGCACAGTGGAGCGGATCGGCGGCCCACTGGGCAAAAGGCTGAACTCTGTGCAGCGGCGGCGACAAACAAATTGATTCGAATTAAAATTACGCCGAGCGAGTTGTGGAGTTTGTGTAGTTTGTGGAGAATAATGGAGACAAGAGCGGAGCGGCAAGTCGGTGCGAGCGGGATGGCGCGACAGGCGCGTTTAAATGAAAAATATGGAGTTCGTTTTGTCTTCTTCGTGTGTTTGTTTAATAAAAATGCGCACATGTATGTGTGTGTGTGTGTGGAGTGGGGGGTGGTGTGGTTGGCGGGGGGGTGGGTCACCAGTCAGCAGGAAAAAGGGGAAAAAAGTGTCACCACTGTTGGTTGGCTGTTCGTGGTTTGAGTCCGTGCTAAAAAGTGAGATGGCGACACCTGCTGCAGCAGCAACAACAAAAACGACAACAACAAAAGCACCAACAAACTCATTTTCAACACTTGACGGTCAGCTGTTGTTGTTGTTGCTTTTGGGTCGCATGCGCGACTGCAAGCAAAAATCATTAACGTTCAAATTTATGTGCGCCAAAGCGAGAAATAACAAAACGAAAACGGCGAAAAGGCAGAAAAGCCAGAAGAAGAAGAAGAAGAAGCATAAGAAGAAGCAGCCGCAGCAGCGACGTCGACGTCGGCAGCGCAGTCGTGGCAATAAAAAGAAAAATGGTTTCACTTAACAAACATGCCAAGGCGCCGTCCGCAAAAACCCACCACCCACAACCCACCACCCACCACCCCCAAAACAAAAACAAAAAAAAAAGGAACAAACGAAACACCCACACTTAACCCCCCGCAGCCACACTTAACCCCTCGCTGGCCCACAAATGGCCAATGCAATAATGGTATTTTTCTGCCTCACTAAATCGTGCGAAAGAGAGGCAAGGGCCAACAAGAGCGAGAGAGGGACACAAGAAGAGTGAGCGAACGAGAGCGAGCAATGCGCAACAGGGAAAATGAAATGAAAAACGCCAAAAAAATTGATTTAAAGTGAATCAGTGTGTGTGTGTGTGCGTGTGCTTGCAGCCCAAACGAAAGAGCGAGAGGGAGAGGGCAATAGCCGAGGTAGCCAGACAGCTGAGACTCTCAACTGGGGCAAGCGAGACAAACATATTGCGCAGACAGGCGTGGCCAGTGAAAAAATAGGGGGAAATTTCATATAAATATGATTATGGCCAATTTAAGGCCCCAGTAAGAAGAAGACGGCAAGCAAAAGGAGCAGCAAAGAAAGGAGAAGAAAGAGCGGGTCCCAGAAGAAAGAGAGGGCCAGGCAGCGCTGCCCCTACGCGAGCAGAGCAAAAACTGACATTTTATTGATTGTTTTATGCGATTATAATGTAATAATGTCTTAAATATGCGGGGGAAATGGGTAGAATCGGCAATCGGCGAACCGGGAACCCCCTTTTAAATACACCCACTTTTCCGAGGCAGTTTCAATGCGCAGCTGCCGTCTTTGGAAAATGAATTATGGCTGCGAGAATGGGATGGAGAACGACTAGAGGGGGAGAGAGAAAGAGAGAGAGATAGGCGGGCCAGTGACCACCCAAAACCCCCCCTGCTTTTCTACCCATAAGCCCCCGTTTTCTGGACTCTCCTTCATCATTGCTTTCTGATTGGCAAAAAAGGAAGAAGAAAATTCCATTTGCAGCTTCTTCTATTTTTTAGGTGTGTGTGTGTGGGGGGGGGGGGGGGGGGCTATCGCCACATGAAGATCTATATAATAAAGCCGCCCCCACAGACACTGAATACGAACCCAAACCATTTCGGCGTAGCCGCACTCAACTCAATTCAATTAATTTTCACTTGATTTTTCCACACACAAACAAATTTTCATTTAATTTGCTGCGGGGCGTTGGTTGGCTGACTTTCCTCTCGCTTTTTCGCTTTTCCCATTTTCCCCCCGCTCATCCGCATTTTCTTCGGCGCCTTATCGGACGCCATTTTCTTGCGCTTGATTTTCTATTAAGTCTTCCCAGCTCTATTCCCCGAACAACTTTTCGCCGCTAATAGGGGCACTCAGGCCCCCGAGCCCCCTTTTCGTACGCCCTGTCTTCCCTGAGTTAGTAGTTGTTGGAAAGTAAATTTGTTGTGACACTTTGTTGCGATTTGATTATTATGTAGGGCCATCATTTCCGGCAACATTTCCTTGAAATTCCCCTCACATTACCAGCTAAATTTAATGATATTGGGAATTAAAACTGAGTAAATGATTGTACCCGACACACAAACAGCATACAACTTGAAGTGGTCGTTAAAATCTAAATAAATCTTTTTAATAATGAAACCGAACTGACTATAATGCACACATAAAGATGGAAACCTTAAAACCCTATTTTCAATTCTTTAATATTTTAAGATTATCATTGTAGAACAGCCATTAAATCAAAATGTACTTAAATCCAATTAGAGACAACGAGGAAATAGGGTCACAAAACACAAACAAATTAATTATATCATAGGTAATTACTTTTGAAATGGATTCGCTGTTTAAATATGGCTTTACGCCATTAAAATAAGCCACCTTCACTTTAGCCCGACAGCAATGACATAATTTGTTTTGGCTCTTCGCTTCATTTACTTGGTTTATCAAATTGTTGCAATCGCAAATCAATTATTATTAAAAGCGCATTAAAAACAATAAAAATGTCATTACAGTAAGCGCGGGGGAAAAAAAACCGGAAAAAATGAGCAAAAATCGAGTAGCGAACGCGGGCAAAATAAACTAAATGAATATTAAGTTTTAATCATTTCACATTCGATTAAACAAATCAAGTTCGTTTCGGGTTGCGCCGCTTATCGCCGCATATCGACAGACTGTCGACTGTCGACCGTCTCCTGTCCCAGTGATTTTTATTACACTTTATTATTATTTACCTACTGTCGACTAATTTGTTTTTAATTTGTGCTGATAAAATTTATGAATAAATAAAACGGACAGCGAGCAAATAACGAAATTAATAAGTGACGCCGGGAAAGTGGAGTGAAACGACCAGTGACAATAACCAAATGCGGGGCAATCACCGAAATTGTGACATTAGTAGCCCGATTGATTTGTCAAATCATAAACATTTATTGAAGTCGCATTTGTCATGGGGCGGTGGGGAACTTATTTTCGGGGCCTCGACAGGAAGTTATCGAGTTTCGGCCATATCGACTGAGGGAAGTGCGCTATAAGAGAAAAAAGAAACAAGCCGTAAATAAAAAAAATCCATTGGGGCTTTGGACAAAAATATCGTTTTTTGAAGATGTTATTTGGTCATAATTTAGTCAATCTGAGGCGCACAGAAAAAGGACCGACTGTTCTGAGCAGCTTACAATCTAGGCTCACTATCGCCATCACTTTTAGGGAAATTTATTTTTTGACCAATTTTCGCATTTTTCATCATCATCTATTTTTGGAAAAAATCGTCAAAAATTAAAGTTTTGAGGCTTGAATGCCAAACGATTGGGAATTTAACTACGAGCTCAGCGAGGTATGGCATTCCATGTTCTGACTTAATTTCGCACAATGGTGACCAAAAAAGTGATTTTTTTTAGTGCAAAAAATGACAAATGGGATTTTGCACAAAAATATCGTTTTTTGAAGCTGTTTTTTGGTCATAATCTAGTCAAACCTAAGCGTACAGAAATAAGACCGACTGTTCTGAGCAGCTTACAATCTAGGGTCACTATCGCCATCACTTTTAGGGAAATTTATTTTTTGACCAATTTTCGCCGTTTTCATAAGGGGTTACATCATCTATTTTTGCAAAAAATTTCAAAAAATTAAAGTTTCCAGGTTTGAATGTAAATCGATAGGGAATTTAATTACGAGCTCAACGAGGTATGGCATTCCTTATTCTGACCCTTTTTCGCACAATGGTGGCCAAAAAACTGCATTTTTTTTTTGAAAAAAGTGACGATTGGGATTTTGCAGAAAAATATCGTTTTTTGTAGCTGTTTTTTGGTCATAATTTAGTCAAACCAAGGCGTACAGAAAAAAGACCGACTGCTCTGAGCAGCTTACAATCTAGGCTCACCGTCGCCATCACTTTTAGGGAAATTTATTTTTTGGCCAATTTTCGCATTTTTTGTAAGGGGTAACATCATCTATTTTTGCAAAAAATGGAAAAAATAAAAAATTTCCAGGTTTGAATGTCAATCGATTGGAAATTAAACTACAAATCCAACGAGGTATGGCATTCCTCATTCTGACTTTTATTTTTATTTTGGCAGCAAAAAAAATGAGTTTTTATGGCAAAAAAAAAGGTTAAAATTTTTGTGCAAAATAGAGATTCAGATTTTTGTCAAAAATTCGAAATTTTTTTTTTGTTTTTCAATCGTAGTTTAGCCAAATCAAGGCGTACAGCTAAAAGACCGACTGTTTTGAGCAGCTTGCTGGATATGCTAACGATCATTATCACTTTAAGGAAAATTTATTTTTTGGCAATTTTTCGCATTTTTTGTAAGGGGTAACATCATCTATTTTTGCGAAAAATGGAAAAAATAAAAAAAATTTAGGTTTGAATGTCAATCGATTGGAAATTAAACAACGAGCTCAACGAGATATGACATTCCTCATTCTGACTTTTATTTTTATTTTGGCAGCCAAAAAACTGAGTTTTTATGACAAAAAATATGGTTAAAATTGTTGTGAAAAATGGAGATTCAGATTTTTGTCAAAATTGCGAATTTTTTTTTCGGTTTTTCAATCGTAGTTTAGCCAAATCAAGGCGTACAGCTATAAGACCGACTGTTTTGAGCAGCTTGCTAGATATGCTATTTTTCGCATTTTTTGTACATCATCTATTTATGCAAAAAATTTCAAAAAAATTAAAGTTGTCAGGTTTGAATGTAAATCGATAGGGAATTTAATTATGAGCTCAACGAGGTATGAAATTCCTTATTCTGGCCTTGTTAACACATATTTCTGACTGTGCTAGGGATATCTGTGCCCATGTACCCGAAACTTGTGAAGATCCCCTACGTTGGCCTCTCTATATCCGGCCCGTAACCCCAGTGCTACCCAAATTTACCCCGCTCCAAGCGTTATCGCCGATGTCTGGTCAGGTATAAAGCATACACCTATAGGTGGGTGAGGGCTTTTTGTGCGCCTCTAATAACTTCATTAGGTGAGCGTTACTC